GAACTACATCACATAGAGTGATAACTAGATAAAAATGTAGGGGGAAATACAGCCACTCCTGTAACCAAAGCATGTGAAAGAGATGTGAGAGAGAAGATGGAGTTAAACAACTTTATGCACCATGTGTTTCTTGAACAAAGGCAAAGTTATGTAACAGAATTATATGGAGTACAATACAGCTCAGTATAACCATAACTGCAATGTATCCACCTCATGATGATCAAGGGCCAAAAACAACAAATTAGTTTTCACTTTATGTCAAAATTAACTCACAGTGGCCACTGTGGGCAACAACCGTACCTCACCTTCATTTACATTCCTCCAGGTCCAACTCTTGGGTATCAGCCCCAATAAAAGCACGAGTATGAGATTTCAACTCTGGGTTTCCTGTCCATGATGATAGAAGGAGACAAAGTAGAGGAAGTGCTAATGTGGAGGATGAAAAGGCAAATTACTTCATTACAAAAACCAAAAGAAAAAAAATTACTTTGCATTGCAAGCTATGGTTAATGTCCTGAAGGTATTTAATGAATCTACACTAATGAAATTACTACAAAGAATTAAAAAAAATAACCATTACAGGTTTAATTCAAGATACCAGAAACTGAAACAAATGTTTTATATATCACAAGACTGGTAGTATTTTAAACATAAGCATTTATAAAGCAGTGAATCAGACATTCGGTGCATGTGAATCTTCTATTTGATGAAATGTGCACTAGTTTATTGCTATGCTCCTTTTAGTTTTCTTTTTTTGTTCAAATGTTTTATTGAAATGCAAGATGTAGACATGTCTAAAACAAATGAAATTAAAACCATTATAGTATTGGTACACACTAAGAAAAAACACTAGAAAACACTTTGTGAGAATCAGCAATCAAGTAAGATCATAGAACGAGCAAGAGGTCTAAATAATTCCCAGGCTTTCTGGGAACAGGGCAGAGATTACATCTACCACTTTTTAGGTATTTTTAATCCAGACAATATATAATTTAACAATACATATGACTATTCCAGGATAATATTTGATGAACAGGTTTAGAGGGATCTTATTCTTATGAAGCATGTGTCACATCATCGTCAGATACAAAAGACACACATGCCCACTGCCATCTATATGAGCAGAGTGCCCTCCAGTGGCATTTCCTTATCAATCACCTGGTGAACAAAGCTGTATTGTGTACCAGCCAATACATTGCTCCAGAACCTGGAGCAACGAAAGCTAATTAAGGGGCTGGAGTACCAAAGCTATGAGACAAGTTTGCTAAATGTAAGCTTGTTTACGCTAGAAGTGAAGCAATTATGAGGGGACATGATTTTGATCATTAGCAATAAACTTTTTACTGTAAACTCCATAAAAAGACTAGAGGCCACCACCTAAAATTGGCAGATAAGAGATTTAACCGCAAAGAGCATAGGGGCTTCTTTTCAGTTAGAGCGGTTACATTTTGGAACTCTCTCCCACAAGCAGAATCATTCAAAAATCAATTAGACACCTTTCTCAGAAACCGTAACATATAGGGTTGCAGGTACTATTAAAAACTAGACCACACAGGGACTCATATATATACACGCTCACAGAAACACACACACAGAGACCTACAAAGGTTGAACTTGATGTACCTGTGTCTTTATTCAACTTCAGATACTATGTAACTATGTAACCTTAATAAAGACTTCAAGAACTCAAGGTACCTTGCAAGGAGTATTAGGGCAAGAAAAGTGCCTCTTCTTCTACATAAAATCTGAGTTTGTGATGTGAACAGATGAATAGAGATTTGCTTTTTTTTTCGAAATATCTGTCTTTAACTTATAATCAGCTCATTGATGGGCTCAGCAGCACTTTACACATACCTATAAGACAGCAAATGCATATTTATGTTGTTATTATTAGAATAGAGAATGCAAATATCAAACATCCTATTCAGTGTTATGCCCACGTATACCTGCCATTCAGTGTTATGCCCAACTACTGTATACCCGCCCAACTACTGTATACTCTTAAGTCATAACAGGTTAATATTCACCTGCCATTTAGTGTTATGCCAACATATACCTGCCATTCCGTGTTATGCCCAGGTATACCTGCCATTTAGTGTTATGCCTGTGTATACCTTCCATTCAGTACTTTGTAGTAGCTCACTTGGCCATAATGTATGCGCACCATTATAAAAGTACAGTCATGTAATTGATAACTACCCATTGTAAGCTGCTATAAATCTATTTTATCCCTTTATTGCTTAGTATTCCTGTTCAGGGTGGATTTGAACTCTGTAATTATTTATTGAAGCATTCCACCTGAATCTTGATTTAGAATTATTTATGTAGGATAAGTAATAATAATTAAAAAAAGTCGTGACACTCTTTCCACTTCTTAGGATTATCTATGAAATGTACTGTATATTATGACATATACAGTATCAGAATGTGCACTATAGCGTATGTATTATATGAAATTCTATTACCTCACTCAGCTTATCAGTGTCTGACAATCAAGCACAAACAAATGTGTTTAGCCAATGAAAAATGGACAGGCTTACACTTGGGATGGTTATGTTTAATTATAAAGCATCTGTCACAGAGTAGCCAGAGGAAATAGTGCTATTCATAGGCTTTGTTCTGATTTCTCATCTACCTGAAAACATTGCATCACACAGCTGTCATCCATTCCTTCTTTACCCTAGTAAAACTTACATAACACGCCATCAGGAATGTTTAAACCTTATATATGTACACACACACACACACACACACACAGTATATATATTTATATATTAGGAGATATGCCTGAAATCAGTTACTGTATTTGGTAATAAGAAGAGCTTTACAACCTACAGATTGAATGATTTTACGCAAATAACGCGTTTCACGTATAGTATATCCTTTAAATTTGGATATTCATTTTAAGACTGCCAATAGTCAGTATAATCTTTCACAGTTCTCCCTGGGCTGCTAAAAGCTGGCTCTCAGGTAATGATTACAGCATATCATTGCCTTCCACGTACAGTACATGAGGTTTTCACATCACATTTTCCATTCACCAATAACTATTCAAGAAGTGAACATTTCTAATAATAGTCATCACTTTGTATTACTTTTCAAGAAATGTGTGATGAATGGGAGGTATATTCTATATAAAAATAGAAAGTATTTTTGTTACATTTTTATTGGAGCATGAACATATTGAGAAGGATGAAGTGCATGCTTTATTAAGTGCAGCATTCAGATGTAAATATAAACTTTATGAGACAAGTGTATTTCAGACCCAGACGGATTTGTCAGACCGAATGCAATTTTTTAAAATCTCCTATCATGAGTTGAACCTTTTGCTGACATCTGACATATAACTGTCAATGAGAGGTCAATCTCTCGCCCGTATCAAAGATTAAAACATTTTACATGTATCATCAATAACATAATTATCAACTATACTGTATCAACAATCAAATATTCTAGGATGCAGAGAACTATTCTTATCCTAAATTGTCATTGAGGTGGGCCTTCCAAGATAGCTTCTTATGAGGATAGCTTTTATGAGAACAGTGTCTTTATAAGCTTATTTTTTAAGGCACTTAGCTTCTGAAACTAAGAGGTCATACTTAAACTAAGTGGTGGCTTTTACATGAACCTTAGAATTTGTTCTTGTGTACATTGCGGTGTGGTCATCCTTGTCCATCTAATCACCTAGGCCTGGGATAACTGATACACATTTGTGCAGTTAGGAAAAAGCAGCAGAACCAGAATTAAGTCAAAACATCTCCAAGGTGCAGGTTACAACAATTGTGATGTACTCCAAACGGGAAAAGGAGCCAAAGTTCCAGCGAGTGCTATAATGAACAATTGGCAGAAGGCACCCCTGTCCAGATTCTTATAAAGGAGGAGCATCACCAGCACATCAAAAGGTCAATCTCGAGCCATTTATTAATCACAGACATTAAAAAAAACAGCAGCGACATTCTGGAACTCAGAATAGTCACTTTATCGGGCACACAGTGTCACTGTCTTCCTAAGACAGCCTGAGCTCCGAAATGACGCTGCTGTTTTCGATGTCCATGGTGCAGCTGCACTCCTGACTGTATAAATGTTTACCAGTTCTGACATCAGAAACTGTGACGTCAGAAAAAGCACAGGACCACACATGGGGGTTGGGTGATCATAACTGTTGAATTATCCTTTGATCATTTTTACTATTTTTGTTATTTTCTAAACTATAAACTGACCTTTTATATTAGTTTTCAACACTTGAATGTAAAACATTTCTTTTACAAATAAACATTTATAACACAGCGCTTCCATAATAGATTGTTTACAGATTTCTAATAAGAAAGCCCAGCATTGCCTGCTCATTTGCTAGCTGATTCCATCTAACCACAAATAAGGATTTTTAGAGGCTAGTACACTGAAGAAGGTAGTGTGGGGGTGCCCCGGGGGAGGAGGCTGTCAGTGTTTTTGTGAAAATCAAATGACACCATCTATTGAGGTCATTCACAGCATGGCAGTAAAAAGCAAAAAATATATCCTAAGTATGTCACCTACTGGATGAAAGTGGCAAGTACAAGTATAAAATGTTCATATTCAGCATTTTATATTAACTTGACTAAAAGTAAATAACAAAAACTTTTATTTTTAGTTCTAAAAGG